TCCCTTCCCCGTCCAACTTCATTTTTTTCTTTACAATACAGCTTTTAACTAAATTATGGTCGTACGGCTGCAAAGCATCAGTATTAGTCATGGTAATGATACTGACCACTTCAGTGGTTGCTGAGCTCTTTTTTCACTTAGCGATTAGTGTCACAAACAGTGTCGGATACATAAATCATCCCCTGATGATTCACACCATCCGCCCCAACCAGCGCTTGTTAGTCAGGTTTTCATTCACGTACAACACTCAGGAACTTTCTCATCCATGTTTCACCTCTTTCTTATCCAGGAGGTAAGAAACCCCTGCAAGCTATCTCACTTCTTATGTGAGCCGTATCAATGTGTCCGTGACGTGAACAATCGTTTCAAGGGCTACGCATGTACCTGTCCACCAGGAACGCGAAGCATGAGCCACACCAATCCACGATGTGTGAATATCAATGAATGTAAAGAGTTGACATCCCCATGTTTGAACGGCGGTATCTGCGTGGATCGAGAACCACCTGCAGCAAACGCACCTGTCAAAGAGGGAGAGCCCTATGGATACGCGTGAGTGCGTGCACTTTAACGAGATATTTATTTTATTACAGAAGCAGGCGGAATAATGATCACCTGTACTGAGCTGACGGGATTTGTCCTTCTCTAAGGAGACACGATTTCTTACTACCGAATAAGCAGTTTTTAATACGCAAACGTAAGTGTCTGATGATGAGGCTTGCATCTGAGCCACGTGACATGCCGTTTTGAGACAGTCGTCTCACAAAACGAAGTCCACTTCAACACGAAAACGTCGACACCCTGTTGAGTTGCTGGTTCGCCGTTCCATAAAAACTCACAGCGAAATGAGCTTTTATGACGGACCTTCCAGTTAGCAAGCTCTCACCTGACTTGTTAATGGTATGAGTGAGCTAGATAAAGATCAGACTTGACCGTTTCAAGAAACTAGTTCATTAGAATGTTCTACTCATAAGGTTGCTGAAAATCCATCGACAGGTAGGCGCAGTCCCCGGGTTTCCGTCGAACCTACCTGATTGGCCCCAAAAAGGGCGAAACCAGTCGTGGGTTGTCGACGGATTTTCAGTGGCCTTATGAGTTGTGCGTTACAAACATATACATGTATCGCGATATTTCAAATGTCGTAGCGACTGAAACATAAGGCGGCCTGGTGCAGCACATTCAGTTGCCTGAAAACATCACAAACGAGAGATTCAGCTGGGTTCCAGATGAGTATCTCGAAAAACCAAATTAGTTTGCCAATGAGTGTTTAACCGCTATTTATTAGAAATTTGGGTCAGATAAGCGACAAATACACTCATTTGCAGGTCCCCATTTTTTCGTGTTCGTATCGATCCAACGTTCGCGTGGATATCAAAGTCGCCTCTACGTCCCTCATAGTCTATTGTTAAATGCTCTCTTCTATAGATCCACCTAATCATTTCATGACCAAATGACACTTGAGGTAGTTGGAGCGCAGTTCGAAGCATTTTCGTGCACAGGTTTCCGCAAACTTATGATGCATAGATCAAATGTATGAGCAGTTATTATCCTCCTATGAAGCTCCATCGCTTTTCGACGGAGAATCGTTAGCTGACGCGACATCCGTTCATTTACGGTGGACCTTCTCAGTGCATCATCAACGGGCGAGGTTGTTTAGTGTAGGCAAACATGGTGTGATGACTGGATATCCCATTTATCCCGAAACAGTTCTTGCGACCACGAAAGTCATTTCCCAGTCTTTTTTCAATTACCACCGGTATATAAACGAAGTATTCTGTGCGTCAGGTGATAAAAACGGACTAACTCCTGGAAAGGAAAGTACTCACAAGGATGCGGAAAACTCTTCGGCGTCGCACGTTTTGCCCTTCTTTGGGCTCATCAGGTAGAGGCAGTTCCCGAGTTTCCGTCAACCTCATGTTCTACCCGAACCCAAATTGGACTGGCTAGGGGAAAACTACGCTTATTTGCAAAGCAGTTTGGTTTCCACGGAAGAATCAAGTGAACCTCTCGTTTATGATGTTTTTCAAATGAATGTGCTGCACAAAGGCCACCTCTTGTTTCAGTTGGTACGATATTCGAGATATCGCAGTATATTTTCATAGAGGAAACTGCTCATCAACTTGATGAAAACTCTTCGACAGCCCACGACCGGTTTCACCCCGACTGCACCTACCTGAAGAGCCCCAAGAAAAGCAAAACGGGTCATGGGCTCTCTAAGGGTTCTCAGAAACCTTATGAGTGGGTCAGCTAACCGTTACCGGCGCATCTTCCACATTGGAGATTGTTGCAGATATCATTCGACTGAATTTGATGAAACGCAATAATGTCCACTTCGTTTATCCAATCCAGTTGTCTTACCGCACTTGACATGCGTGATGGTCACACGCTCATCCACCAATGAAACAAGGAGATCAGTGCAGTGCGATCGATCGGAATTCTCACTCACCAGTGAGGCGTGGTCCAAGTATGAGTCATCATCCAACGCAATTGTGCCCATAACGAGATTGTCCTATCAAAAATCGAGTTGAGCGATTGTCTCCGGAGTTTTTATTTACAAAATCTGCCTAGCAGATTAGGACAGAAGCTGATATGTTTCACGTACAAAATAAAAAAAGCGAAGAGATTCTCCAACTTGAGTGCGAGTGTTGTATGTCCAGTATGTAGTTCGAGGTTATTTTTTCCTAGTTTGAAGCACACAAACGTGGGTTAGACTTCTTGGCTGACCAGAATCAAGTCAGCAGAAGGTCACATCTTATGCAATTGGGTTTAGAATCTTGGGACTAGAGAATCTTGGATGAGAAAACTTTTCAAAAGTCATGGTGAAATTGGGGAATGTCTTATGATTACATATGGTGTTCGATTGATATGACAAGGTGTAAAAAGGTCACGGGTTCGAGACTCCTCCCGGTGGAGTTTGGTGAGACGCGCAGTGATGTTGATTTCCATCGAGTTTGAAACACTACTTCTAGGCTTTTCCGTGTAGATTGACCTCAGTTAAAGGACGAAATCTTCATTGATGTAGCAACTCGTACCGCCAGATCTTTGCTGTTCGCCCCGTCGACGGCACAAAAAACGTCGTTTTAAGACCCAAAGATAAGGTTTGTGTAAACAGGAAACAATCTTCTAAATATAGTGGATGGCTTAAGGCCAACACTTGCACACGTGACTATTTGAGACGGCTCAGTGGTTGGAGAGCGAATTTACTGACCGAGAGGTGCTTGGGTTCGAACCCGACCTCTGCATATCGACTTCACCTGTCTAGGTTTAGAAAACGTAGCAGTAGCCCAGCCCTCATGCTTCCTTCGGGTGGTATGGCAGCTGTGTACCAGAAGGGTGCTACAGTTAAACGGTTACTTTTATTTGTTATTCATGTGGAGTTTAATAACACAGGCACTAAGCTGTTATGGTTTGTCGACAAGGTAGTTGCCTAACGTGTACTTAGTTAAGGCTGACGTCAGCGTCGTTACGCACCTTCGCAGCACCATGAGGGCAAAGTAGAACCAGTGAAATCATGCTGCACAGCACGGACTGAATTTGGCAAGAAACTTCACCCATTTCGGGGATCAGCATAATTGCCTCATTTTCTGGAGAAACAAGTGGGAACTTTTATGATGTTTCCCAGTTTCACACGCGCATGAATGTTCATAATGTATGTACCGTAACCACTTTGATAATGACCTTTTCCGTTTGCTTTCCAATACAGATGCTTGTGTCGATTCGGATATACCGGAGCACGATGCGAACGCCCACCGCCACGGCTACATTGGTCAGGCTGGAGCAGGTGGTCGAAATGTTCGGCTTCTTGTGGTTTGGGCTACCATACACGTTATCGCACCTGTCCTCTTCCGAACCGTTGCGATGGACGCCGGACTGAGACTGGAAGGTGCTTGGGTGCGGTAACCTACTGCTCAGATGTTGTCGGGGATTCCGCATTGATACCCTATGGATTGGGGACGCAAACTGTCCAATCTGTAAGTGTGAACCGCTATCTTGTGTGAACTACTAATTTAACTCTCCTAAAATTCGCCCTTAAGCTGATTCAGTGAGATTAATCATACTTACAGGATTGGCATTTTCTTAACCCTTATTGAAAGTTGGCCGGGTAACCGTCTGTCCGTTCACCGAGATTGGAAATTAGCTCACAAACTGACCGGGTTGACAGCATTATTGTCGGATTGAATGGATTATTCCTTCTTATCCGCTTGGATCTATATGGTTTTCAAACACTGACTCATATCTTTCGGAATTCCATTGATCGGCTCGTTACATCGCGACTTATTTTCCTTGCACTTTCTTGATTCGCTGGGTAGCATTTGTCCTAGGACATTTTGTTGCTGGTCTGATTGGTTGGTTCCCGATTTCTTCTACGTCGTGGCCTGCCTTCTCCTCGTTCGGTTGGCTAGTACGGCGATTTCTGTCTCTAGCCCTTGACATTCTTCGGTTTGATTGGTTGTTCTGAATCCCTGTTGTGTTAAATTTTGACTTTCCCAAGTTCAGTTGGCTGTTTGAGCTCTTTATTTGCTATAGTTGTTTTTCTTTTGCTGGGCGAGCTTTTCATGCCTGATTGGTTAGTCCGGTATCTTCTTGTATTGGGGAATTATTCGTCCTTTTCGGTTATTTTTGAAAATTTTCGGTGGAACTTCTTTTCGAGCAAGTTTAGTTGTTTTTCGGGGATCCATTCATCATCTCTTTCCATGTGTGTCTCTCCTGGATTTTTGTACAATTCCCAACATTTTGGTCGTGAACTTTTTTGTCCTCAGTGACTGGCAGATCGTCTAACTTTGTGCATCCTTATTGCTGGCTGTTTTGACCGAGCATCATGCTTTCATGAATTCACGTACTTTCTTTGCTCGTGCCTGGGCTGGTATGTGGACTTTGTTCCACTTGACTTCGTGTCCATCCCTACCGTATGCACCGGTCGTATTTTGACAGAGATTTTGTGTTCGTGTAGCCTGAACGGAAGCTTCCTTCTTGTCCGTCCATCAGTGGAAGGAAGAAGGTCCTCACTGCGGAGCTGTTTATTAGAGAAACACCAACTGTACAGCTACAGACTATTGGAAGCAAAGCTCTCATATGCATCTTGTTTATGAAAACTGAATATCCATCTTCTCTTGAACGCGTCTTCTTGAACTTTCCTGGATATTCACTGGTTGTTCTTCAATTGCAAGCAAATGCCACAGAGCGACTCCACAAATTCCGTAATAGATTCTACGTTTCAAGAAGCGGATTTACGAGGAAACACACTACTCGCATGCCTCATCAGTAGTATCCACCGTTACACCAGTACTGGAGATATATCCACTGAAGTACAAAGCGAGCCCACTCAGTGTACAATTCGGAGCACCATAGTGAAATGAACACTAACTGCAATGCTTTCCGTTATTACACATACCATAAGGTGGAATGGTGATCGGTAGGAAGGAATAGTGAGTAAGTAGTATACAGCCATGGGATTGGATATTGGGGTTGACATGGAAAGCGGGCCTAGGACAGACAACGGGCGAAAGATTGAAAACAACAGATCCTTAGGGGGAACACAAAGATGGGGCGATATATATATATATATTTAAAGGTTGTACAAACAACCTTTAAGCGCTGACAGGAAGAAAACATGGACAACGGGAAGAGAGGTGAACCCTAAATAATTACAAGTGTTAAGAAAAGCCTATTGGCTACTCATGAGTAGCCAGAAGAAAATGAAGCCCACATTTTGATTGCTATGACAGGTTTACTTCCGTCTTGAGCACTGTCTGGTAGAATTGGAAGAGAGATTCCCATAAGCGTCACATTAACTGAAAACGGTCGGAGTTTTCGGTTAGTTCTGAAATAATAAGCAATTAGCAGCTCAGAGGAAAGATGATTTCACTGGATATGTGAACTTTTTTCCGAGAAGTCGTCACTCGAGGTGCTAGTCAATATGTGATCGCGTAATGTAGTTTCCATTTTTGAAGGACGGGTAGTTCTGGAATGTTTCATGACCTTTATCTATGAAATTCCAAAGTGGTCATCATCATCATCATCGAGAGCATAATATTAGTGTTTAACACGGATGTTTCGCCGCCGTACAACCATGATTTATCTGGAAGGTTTATTTTGAAGAAAAGAATAAAGGTGGATAGGGAAGGACTTGGTACTAGCTTACTACAATCATTCCGAAATGTATACACCTCCAGACAATCATTCTAGCGATCAGGATGGAAACTCACAAGTACGACAAGGACGTCAATCAGAAGCCATATCTTGCAGCGGCTCCAACCGCGGTCCCTATCCTGAAATGCGAGTAGAACCGACAGCAAAACGTTTCGTAATCTCCTTCGTACCCCTCTGCCAGGTCAAGGGTTGGTCGCCTCTCTGCTTCCCTTGCTCCGAATTTCACACGGAAAACAGCACTCTTTTCGGTAAACGGTGATTCAACATTCGCAATACATGGCTTCTGGTGCTGGACACAAACTTCGAGGGAACTCCCCGTTGCACAACCGAAAATTTGCCTTCAAATTGCACCGTTACGGATTCGCCGAACCAACCCACACGAGCTTTGGTTCGGAGACAACGGTTGTCGAAAACCTGGAGACGTCCTCGTTCCACTGGTCGGACAGATCTAGTCTCACAGCTATACACGGTAGCCGGATACACTCATCCGTTGAGATTCAGCGATATATCGCTTTGACGCCATAGGTGTCTCAGGGTACCAAACCCGAGTCAGAAATATTGCCATTTCAACTGCTACTTTCTCTCAGGAGGTATATTTTGTTCAGGTAGTACTGACTGAATTCAGGATATGCCACCTAGAATCTCCCTCACCTTACAGGACACCGTTAGCAGATAGAGGTCAAACCTCTTACCAGATGGATGAAATGATGACTCCGTACCGGTAACTAGTGTAACGGTGGATACTACTGATGAGACATGTGAGTAGTGACTTCTGGTAAATCCGCTTCGCGTCTCTTGAAAAGCGAGACCTATTACGGGAGTTGTGGAGTCGTTTTGTAGCATTTGCTTGCATTCGAGTACCAGTCAATGAATATCCGGGAAAATTCAGGAAGATGCGTTCAATGAGAAGATGGAGATTCAATTTTTGTAAGCAGGACATACATGAGAGTTTTGCTCCCCTGTCCAATGGTCCGTAACTTTTCAGTTGGCATTTTCTCATAGATAACTCCGCAGCAAAGGCCTTCTTCCTTTCACTAGTACAAGTAAGACGTCTCGGGTCGTCTGACTGTTACCAAACCTTCCTATGTTATGGGTAAGTTGATTAGAGGAATTAAGTGGGGTTAAAGTTTACCCATATTGACGCACCCACATCGGTGCACACTTAGGTTGCTTTCAAATGTTCAGCTGCAACACCCCTTGGTGCCTAGCTGCGCTGTCACCTGAAAGAGGCACGAGGGCTGCAGTACTGCCAGGGGCGTTGAGATGCAGGGGTTGCGTTTGAACCGCGCCCTAACCACTGACCTTTCTCAAACTCTTCGATTAACTCTAGTTACTCAATATTTATGAGTAGTTACTTATTGATTTCGTGGGTATGTTGCGTCCTCAACAAGAAGGTACCCTAGTTTTGGGGGCTTGGAAATCGTCAGTTGTTGGCCTTTGATTGGAGACACTTTCTGGACTAGCGAAGTAGTCACTTTGTAGAATGTACTTTATTGTAGATGTACTTATGAATGGAGTTCATCGATGAAGGCGTTTCGATCATTTTCCAGTTCAAAGTGCTTTCGGACCTCTTGAATGCGCTTAGCCATTCGGTTACAAAGCCCTCAGAACCAGTTGGCGTAGCTGTTGTCTTGGAGTTCCAGATTGTCTGAATGAGTGTCTTGAGGTGTAGACACCTAGGGACCGTTGCGGTAGGCTAGCACAGGGAAGGGTTTTGGAGAGTTCACCATACACCCTCACCCGCCCAGAAGTATGTGAATTTAGGGATCGGATTATGTCTAAAAACTTCTGGGGCATACCCTGTTGAGCAAGTGTAGTTAAAAGCACTAATCGATCGACAGAATCGAACGCATCCGTGAAGTCAAGGAATACCAGGATTGTGGGTCATCTGTACATGTGGCGTTGCTCTAACACCTGACGGAGTGTGAAGATGTGGTCAACGCAGCCTCTACCCGGTCGAAATCCCGCTTGATTCTCACGAGTCAAGGTTTCGCGTGCCACCGTGAGGCGACGAAGAATCAGTGATGCCGGGAGCCTTGCCAAACTAACACTTCTGTGGTTGGTGCATTCACTGAGAGTGCCCTTTTTGAAAATGGGCACCACTATCGATTCATCCTAGTTGTCTGGGACGGCCTTCTTCTACCAGATGGACCCAAATAGGCTAGACAGGCACTGGCTGAGGAATCCACCATCATCCTTGAAAAGAGCAAGTGGAGGGTCGTCAGGATCAGCAGCACGACGACGCTTGAGTAGAGAAATACATTCGGACCCTGAGATTGAAGGCGGCTTCGTAATTTACAGTCCGCCTTTCTGTTGAAAGCCAGGTTTTTGGACTGGAGGTAGCAGAGGACCAACTGAATTGCTGCTCGAAGTACGAATCTTGATGTTGTTATGTCGATGATGGTGGGAAGATGTCGGAGTAGAAGACCCGAAAAATACCGGCGGGCAGGTTGTAGGAAGCACGAGGGTTGGGATACTGTCAGGTTGCCTAAGCCTAGACAGGGGAAGTCGAAAGGCAGAGTTCGGGTTCCAACCACAGGCAGGTTGGATCGATGAGTAAGACAATCGCTGGTCCCTGTATACAATGACAGGGAGTAGTAAACCACACTAGGAGATGGACAGCGCGGTAAAGTTAATTGTAGACCTCAGCTTCCCATTAACTAAAGAATCGGTAGTCTCTTTTGCATCCATGACACTACCCAATACTGTGATTCCTTTCTGCTTAACTCCGTTTGTACCACTTTTCTGGTATAATTTTTTTCAAATGAATCAGTCTGTCCTCCTCTCCAACAGGCTACAAACATGTGCCTTTCCATCCTCAACTCATATGTTCCGCTCCACATGGAGATCTTGTTCCGGTTTGGTGAGCATTGGTTCCTACCATGCAATATTCCCGTTTGTTTCTTCTTCAGTGGGACATTGGCTGGACCGCTAGTGAGGATCGCAACCTGGACGATGCATTTTTCTGGTCCGAGACTGAAGACGGTTGGCCCAGTTTATATTACGTAACCGAAGGATTCCAGGTTGCCGACATACTCACATGGACCAAACTCTCCCAACTGTCAAGACAATGGTCAATCACACAGTTGATGATCTTCCATGCAGTTGTCTTGGGTCTTGTCACAGTTCCCATTCTGCTGATATTCCTGGCAATTAGTAGAACGCTTCAGAGTTTTGTACGTCGCCACAAAAAGTCCAGTCAAGAGGGGTCGGAGGATAAGTAGGCGCGAACAAGACAAAGATGAAGGAGCGGATCAAGTTTCAATTCGTTCAAGGGTCTGTTCAAATTTACTAGCCCGCATAAAATTCTGTTCTACCTCAATAAATGATCATATTAAACATTTTCGCTACCTTTTCCTGAAGATAGTACACACAAGCGAGACGATGCAGTCTTCAACACAGAAGAGGTGATATCGACTTAATTGGCCCGCGAATTTACTGATCAGAAGGTCCTTGGATCGAACCCGACCCCGACGTCTCGATTACACATGTGTACCGGTGGATACTACTGATGAGGCATGCGAGTAGTATGAAGTTTTCCCGTTAATCCTCTGTCTTCTCGAACGCGCCTTCCTGAACTTTTCCAGATACTCATTGACTATCACTCAAACGCTACAAAGGGATTCAACAAATTCCGTAATAAATATCACCTTTCAATAGACGCGAAGTGGATTTAGGAGAAAACCACATACTACTCGCATGCCTCATCAGTAGTATCCACCGGTACACATGTGTAATCGAGACGTCGGGGTCGGGTTCGATCCAAGGACCTTCTGATCAGTAAATTCGCGGGCCAATCACTGAATTATCTCGAGATCAACCATGCAAGCACAGCATTTCAAAAGTTACTGCAATCGCTTCCAGTCCATTCTTAGCTGATAAACGGCTGTTTCGGTTAGAGTTTATGACAACAAACACGGTTAGTGACGGATTCCGTTGGTCGATGTGACAACCAGATTCTAAATTGTTCAAGCTTTCCTTGCTGCAACAATCCTGTACAGACGCCTAATGCTATCTTGTTGCAGGACAACCGAAAAACTGAATCGGTGTTAAACTAATGGGCCTCTGGGTAGTCTATGGCACCATCTTGCTGCTGTGTGTGACTCAGGAGCAGCGGCAACGCGCTTTACTGTTGAAGTTGATTCATTCTTCCGCAGCAGAAAGTCACTGCACGTCGATGTCTGTTCTAAACACCAGTCCTGCGAACTAAGTTTGTTGAGGCAACCAGCAATTAAGCCGGGCTATTCGAATACAGAGTAATCTATTTTGTCGATCAAGACGCATGATGAGCACCATCAAGCTCAGTCCCTGCGACACGCTTAGTTGCGTCCGAAGCGTGCTGTTTTCACGCGGTGACCCTGGAATAACAAATAGATCAGAGTGATGAAGGAACTTGCTTACATACATCTTCTGTGCTGCTTTTTGTGAAGGCTCAGAGATCTTTCTCTAATGAACTTCAACTTCGAGCAATAGTTTAAAGGCACTCGTTGCACACTCCTGGATGACTTGGTGCATCTATGGGAAACTATGAGTGTATTTTAAGCTCAGACTGATCGTCCAAACTAATGACGACCTTAGAACACAAGTCCGAATTCATCGACTTCAGAAAATGTGGTATGCCTTCCAAGTGGAACTGAAAGACAGGCCACGACCGGCTTAGCCCTTCCTCTGGCTCGCAAGGTGGGTCCATTCCTCAAGCGTCCGTCAATCCTGTATTCTAATTGGACCCAAATTGCATGAAATTCACGACGGGAAACAATTCATAGACGGGAGGTTCAGTTGGGACTCACTGGTCTCCCATTAAAGCTAAGTCAGTCTGTAAATGAATGTATTTCGCCACTGGTGAATCTGTTCGAATGGCCTAATAATCGAAATTTGAGGAGTTCGGCGCATCCACCCATCACCGTGTAATGTCGAATCCTACCCAATTCCAGTAGAGCTAATAAACATTCCAACTTCAGAACAGTCTACGACAGAAAGCCTATGGGTCTTTTCCGGGAAAGATCGTTGGCTTGCTGACTAGTTATAGCAACTCCCCCAGTAGCGATTTCTCAGTTGTTTCGCACCAATGAACATTGGCGGCATTGAAGTGCACATTAAAACCTATATGTCTTTCGAGTTAGAATAGACGGTTGAGTAGAGGACATACGACGACCCTGTACAGCTGTTGTTAGCGAAGCAAGCTCTTGTGGGTTACTCTTGTTTGCTTGCCTAATCTAAAAGGCATCACAGAACCATGCGGTGATGCTGGATAGGACGCTATTGACTGGCCATGAAGCGTGGAGCAGCCTGGCGTAGATAACAGAACTAAGGATAAAATGTGTTGCCATGCGATACCATTGAAAACCGCGATGTGCCATGGACGGTCAAAATGACTGACCGGCAATGTCCCAAAAAGGGGATGATCCATACCCCTAAAGTAACAATTAGGCCAGGAAAAGCAAACCGATTCGCCTTGGCATGGCTGATAAGGCAAACTAAATGGCCATGACGTTAAGTCACGTCCCTGGTGATCAGCCAGTGAATCTCACAGCCACCACTGAGAAATAGATGATACGCCTAACTACTCAAGGTACTGTAGAATGCGGACCATGTGCATAGTTCGTGCATCATGTGTGCAAACGAAGCCCATTGTGAGGCCACAGTGGGGGTCTCCCAGGAAGAACTTGATTTGACCGAAATGGACAGCGCATAAGAGACATTGATCAGATAACTAAGGGTCAAATTACTCAAACATTTTTTGTATGGAGGGATGTCGGTGGGCAGGTGTGGGCAAACAATACTTCTTGCTTGCCCAAGTTTAGTCCAGGAATCAAGTCTGACCTGCAAGGCAGCATGACCTGGGAGTTTCCTAGAAAACTTGGCTACAAGCCCCCGACATGCCGGGCTACAGGGGGTTGGTCTGACCCGAGGACGCATGACTCTTAACGCAGCTGTGCACAGAAATCGCCTTTACGGCAGTACCCCACGGGTATTTCGAAATTTGTTTAATGATGCGAAGGCGGTCACAATCAACCATTGGACCGACCATTGATAAACCGTCCTTCCTCGGAGTAGGCAGCACCGCTGCTTTCTTGCGGACAAATTGGTTTATACTGAGGGAAATACACTATAGCCTTCACACTCCTACCGCAAAGGACATTAGGACTTTACTCGTCGATCGCCTCACAGTACGATTACTCGCACAACGGGGCTTCGCTGACACCCTTTGACCATTCTAGGGTGAGAAAACCTTGAGGAACTGGGTTGCAGCCGGTAAGATTATTGCAGCAGCACATTTTGGTATCTTGATCAAATATTTGTTACCTGCAGACACTTCTCGAAATGCGGTTGCAAATGAAGCCACTCTGAAAAACTACAGAACCCCACCCTTCATATACGGATCCAACACTCCCTAAGCACTATAGTGGTTGCAAAAGACGTATGCAACCATAAAGATCGATACGGTCGTGACCGATGAAAACGCAAAACTTACCGACATATGTTCACGACAAGGTGGCGCTCTAAAAGAAGCCGAAACTTGCAAATAATGTTACATAAAGCCACACCTGATGGCACTGAAAACGGTATGAAATTGCCTACCAAATGCGGTATAAGTGCTTACCGAGTTATTCCATTAGTTTATTACGAAAATGTGTTGCGGTCCACGGCGACCGCAGTTGTCTTTATTGGAACAAATTTAGACTTTGTTCTGGAATCCGGCGAGTATAATCCGCGGGATTACTGCATCACCCAAGCCCCAACACCATGTCAAGGTGGGGCCTATCTATCAGGCGAGGCCAACATTAAGGACGACGAAATGATTGGATGGATAATAAGGACCGACTGCGACATCACGCCACACCGGTGCCATCAACGGAGTTGATGGAACAGGAGAGAGGAGTGACTTGACGCATTGTGATTGCCAGAGCACAATTAGCGGCTATTTATGATGTCACGCGGTGTTGTTTGAGACATCGCGAACATACTGTTAGGAGGAATAAACGACTGCTCTTGTCATTACCTTTTTTGTGCCCCACATACGGCAACGAAGTATGACAGCTCCTACCATTAAATTTAATCACCCTGGTAACTGCCACCTTTCTGTGCAGGGAAATGACTGACAGGGCTCATGGACGCCGGCAAGGGCGGTCCTGCACTGGAGCTGCCGCCGGCAACACGCACCTGACTAATTCACATTAAATGTCAATAAATTGGCTTGGTTATCACCCTTAGCGCACGAATGAACAATCAATTTGTCAGCCATAAAACGTGTACCACTGGCTCCATCTGCTACAGTTACGATCATCAAAAAGTGGGAGTGCCGCAGACACGGCCAAGCCTTGGAGGTGGTGGCATGTTCAGTTAATTCGGGAATCGGGTAGCTATGCATTGAAGGCGATAGCTTTGATAAAGGAGCGTCACTGACCGCTCGATTGGGCCATTTCTACCAGTGTCACTAACCATTGGTGAGTCGAGTCCCGGGGTCACCATCCAGGGAGGCGGCGACTGTACAGCCGACCAAGTCATACAATGTCCACCCATCGGTCGCTTTCACTCAGCACAGGGCTGAGCGAAAAAAGCTCTGAGAGTCAAACGGCCTTCTGATATGCGGAACACATGTCTTAACCAGCGTAAACAAAGTAATTCATGTATCGTGGGATAATTTCTTCTGATTACAACCATCTGGCGTACTCCAGCATTACCAATCCGATGTTCCCACCAGACGTGATCGATGCTTCGATTGTCGAACACCGACATTTATCGTACGTCCTCTGAGCATAGACCCAACACCTCTGATCCATAAAGCAGTATGGATTCCACCGTTGCAGTGTAAACTCTGCCCTTGAAAGACAAACTCACGACACATCGGCGTCATGAGTGTTAGAGGTTGGAAAACATGACTTTCATAAGTCGATAGAAATATGAAACGGATTGCGATAAACCGATATGACTATTGCAATGTGCCCCATACCAAGCTTCTATGGGAGAAATAGGGTTGTTTTACCATTGTTGGGTTGTCAAAACAAGTCCGGGTTCTGCCGACATTTCCAAAGATGCCACACTAGATGCACGCCTTCGACAGCAACTCACAGAAGTCTGGGAAGGATTATACGACAGCAGGACAATCAGTGACTCTGCTGGGTCAGATCAATTATCCTGAACAGTCCCATTCTCATCCGTTTCCCCAAAAATCCTACGTCTCCAAGACCAAGAGTCGTTCATATTGGGAGGGTGCATCAAAAACCGAGTAAAGACGTCATCAAATTGGTGTTAGAGATCCTCGGAAAACCCGACATAGAAGAACGAAGTCGGTTACGGTACGTCCTGAGAACATTTGTCGGGAAGAAATTTGAGGGACCAGAAGGTAGGTGACTACGCCATTGAGTACGATCCTCCTGTATTCGTCAATGTTCCTTGTTTATCGCAGGGCAGTTTTATGTCGGAGAGACTGAATTGGCTTAGTATGGAAAATCTAGGCGTTTATGGTAGGATTCAGCATGAAACAAGGATGCCGACATGATCCTGGTAATGCGAATCAGGCTGAGAAACGGAAAGTATACGAATAAAATCTCTGAGTGCATTGTGCGCTTCATAATCAGTCGGCAATACCTAATACCAACTAGTCATTCCCGGGACAAGGAAAGTGGAATCTGCGCAGAACCTTTGTACTGAAGTCATTTGGACGAGTCTGTCGAGAACAACTTCAGTGGATATGCTTGCCCATTCGCGCGAAACTGAGTTACCCCGCGTAACAACAGAACGAAAAACTCCAGAATCAAAGCCATGTCGTATATTGAACAGTTCAGGCGCTTACACCAGCAAGCCGGGCCTGAGTGCGCTTCCATCGTTCGAGTGGGCCATGTTCAGGTTGGTACTTGGCACAAACACCATCAGAAACGAGATGGCCCTTCTGCATCATCTCCTGAAAGCCAACACGGGGCCATTTCGTGAAGCCCCAGTTGCGGGACACTGCGATCTGGAAAAAGTGAAAAATAGCACATGTGAAACCAAGCAGTTGAAATCGGCGGGTCGGCTAGCATGTAACCAAACTTTTACCCTGGAAACTCATGAAATGACAGCGAAGACTAAAACGCAAAGTAGTGTGATAATATAGGATCGATATGCGATTAACAGATTGACCCCAATGAGTGACTCATTCGCACATCATACGGCAAAAGAGGACCAAAGAACTAATTTAAGTGGTGGCACCGTTCAGGACACCGTAAGCTGTTCCCCGCCATCAAGTGACCTGACTTGGTTTCACAGTCGTTCTTTATAAGAAAACTACCCATCCTGGATTGATCCAGAGAAACTAACGAACCATTAGGAGTGATTGAGGGCAATGTCAAACGCTTATCAACGCCCCTGTGAGTCCCTTCCAAATATCGCACATAAAATCGTCATCAAAGACAGCAACAATAGTGTTGGCACTGATGCTTCACTGCCGTACAACCACAAGGTTCATCTAGTAATATATATAATATATATATATATATTATATATATATACATATATAGTTAAAAGCCCTAGGATGAAAACAAGAGAAAAAGAAGGGGTAGGGGACCTGGTGCTGGCGTTCAACACA